CTAAGGCAGGATCGTACACCGGAAGAAACGACGAAAAAATACAGGGTAGAAGAGAAAGAAACGAAGATACAAGAAATCGATCGACTGGAAATAGAGGCCTTGATTAAAGCCATCGATCGTGCAAAACAATTCAGTGTGGAACTGGGGAAAAAAATGATCGAAGTGCCCAATACTCAGAATACGATAAAAAAGCTGGCAATGAAAATAAAATACAACGCGGAAGCATTGAACACTGAGGTAATTAAGACTCTTCTCGAGAAATATGAGAATGCTGAAAAGAAAGCGACTAAGGAGATGGCGACACAAACATGGGGAGAGGGAACGGAGATTATGACTATCGAAGAAGTGAATACACTGGAGGATTTTTTGGAAGTAAAGGACAAAATATGGGATAGGGAAATATTTAAAAACACCGAGGTAGTGGTCGGAAACCCCATTCTAACTAGAGACGACGTTGTTAAGGTGGTTCTAGTTGAACCTAACGACAGAGAAATGCAAAAAAGTATAAAAAAACTATAAAGAGAGAAATTTCCTGAATTAGAAGACCTAAATGGAGAATTCGAAGTGATGGAACAGAATACAGTCATAAAAACAGTGAAGAGGGTAATTAAAAAAGTGATAATTAAAGTAAACCATGATGGTACGATGGAGAGCGTATGGAAAAATTTATGTAAAGTAGAGAAGGAGGTAAAGGGTGTCGAAAGGGTGGCACTACACTATATAGAGAATATGAGTGTGGAAGAAATGAGAAAGATGTGCGAAGTGATCTTTAAAAAAACAGAGACGAAAGTTGGAATTTTTGTAACGAAAAGAAAAATAGAGGTTCCTGAAAACAACAAAAGGGCAAGGAAGACATATGGAATAATTTTGAGTCAGGAGGAGGGACAATACAGCGAGGCGTTACAGAAGGTAAAGGAAGTGGTTGGTGCAGATGAGAGTATGGTAAACGTTGTTCGAAATGTGAGAGGTACAAGAGATGGTAAACTGATGATCACAATGGATAAGGATAAAGAGGTACTAAAAAATATAAGTGAAGCGCTAGGCAGACAGGAAGGGATCAAGGTTCGACAAATAGGGGAGGAAGATGACCTTTCGACAGTGTACATTAGGGGGATGGTTGAGAACACAAAAAAGGAAGAGGTTGTAGAGGCACTAAAAAAGCAAGGGTTCTGGTCAGACGGAACCTGCAGAATCAGCGAACTACGGCCTTATTCGAATCGGATGAAAGCAGCTACGCTGATCATTAACAAAGAGTACGCGAATAAGATGCTGGGAGCGGAATATGTAAAAGTAGGCATAGCTAGATGTACAGTAGAGAAGAGACACAGAATTAGAAAGTGTTTAAAATGCTGGTCTCACGAGCATGGTACCAGGGATTGCAATGTAGAGGAAAGGATAGTTAGGTGCTTTAAATGTGGTAAGATAGGACATGTAGTTAAGGAATGCAAGAACCAAGAAGCCTGCCCAATCTGCGAGGAAGACGGACACGTAGCTGGTACACTTAGGTGTCCGGCCTTTAAAAAGGCTCTAAAGGAGGCTAGGCAAAGAGGAAGAAGTTTAAGTAGACAAAGCTCCACTGTGTCGCAAAACGAAGAAGAACCCATTAACACCTGGACAGATGAGTTAACAAATGAGACTGTTATCGAAAATGTGATATCCAACAATCTAGTCAAGTAAAGTACTTTTTATATACATATCTATTTACACTTATATACATATTTTATACTTACATATTTATACACTTACACTTCTATACATTTATATTTACATATTTAAACTTAAACTATGAAATTTCTACAAATTAATGTGGATAGATCGAGTCGGGCTCAAGATGTAGCAATAGCGACAGGAATACAGCTTGGAGTAGATGTGATCTGCTTGCAAGAGCCAAATAAAGCGATGTCAAGAAGAGGTGGACTCATTGTGGACAGAAACGAAATGGTTGCTATATACATGCAAAATAGGAAAATGAGAATCATTGAATGTATAAGAAGACCGGGTTATGTCATAATCAAGCTGGGGCGGCTAGTGGTATATAATTGCTACGTGTCACCGAACATTGACAGGGACCAATTTAAAGATCAGGTAGATAAAATTATGACGGATGTGAAAAGAGAACGGGGAAAGAAAATATTAATTGCTGGGGACTTTAATGCGAAATCGCTGATGTGGGGCAACAAGGAGGATGATAGAGGTAGGTATATGGAAGATTGGATAGCCCAACTAAACCTGGCTCCACTTAACGACCGCAGCTGCCCAACGTTTGTGAGACGAAGTTCGAGTTCACATATTGACATAACCCTTGTTTCCGAAAATCTTGTAGGCCAGATAACCAAATGGGAAGTTCTTAAAGAGGAAAGCTTAAGCTGGCATCGCTTTATTATGTTTGAGATAAGAGAAAATAATGTACGGAAGGAGTTATTCCAAGGGGAAAGTAAGATCGATGTGGAGCTAGCTCGACTGACTCTGACACTGGTCAAAAATCAGATAAAAGGCAATCCAAGGAGGTTAGTGGAAGCGGCTGCATCTGCGCAAAAAGTCGGGACTAAGCGACAAACGGGAAACAGAGTAAAAAAAGCGTACTGGTGGAACGACGAGGTGGATCAAGCCCGGAAGAGATGTAATCGAACCAGACGCATATTAACAAGATTGAGAAGAAGGAATCCAGATAGCTACGGGGTGCAATACTATGAGAATGTGTATACGGGTAATAAAAAGGAATACAAAAGAGCAATAAATAAAGCGAAAAGGGAATGCTGGAGAAGATTACAGAAAGAAGTTGACGAGGATGTATGGGGAAAGGGATACCAGATAGTAACTAGGAGTATAAAAGGCAGGCAAGAACGGCACATCTTGAATCAGGAGGAGAAGGTCAACATCATTAATAAACTGTTTCCCGCTTGGCCAGCTACACTAAATCAGAGCCCTAGAACATCAAACATCGAATACTTCGAGATGAACGAAATGGTAATAGCTGGCAAAAGTTTAAAGACAGGCAAGGCGGCAGGTCCCGATAAAATCCGTACAGAAGTGATTAAGTTGTGCCTGGAAGAAATACCTGAAGTTATGTTGGAGGTTTACAATGGAATATTGGAGAGACAAAAAATCCCCGCTGCTTGGAAAGAGGCAAAAGCTGTGCTAATTCCAAAGGACCCAGAAGGAACTAAATTCCGACCGATATGTTTAATCGATGGCCTTGCAAAATTACTCGAGTACATGATTAAGAATCGACTAGAGTCTCTCATTACACTAGCTCCAAATCAATATGGGTTCCGAAAAGGGAGGTCAACAATTGAGGCCTTAGAGGATATAACCAGCGAGAGTAGGAAAAAGTGGGTAGCTGTTGTTTGCATAGACGTCGAAAATGCATTTAATACCGCCAAATGGGAACTAATTTTAGGGAGGCTGCAGAATATGAAGATTCCTAAATATCTACTTAACCTAATATCGGACTACTTCAAGAACAGAAAAGTTAAAATAGATAAGCACTGTAGAGTCATGAGTCAAGGGGTTCCACAGGGGTCCGTCTTAGGGCCACTTCTGTGGAACATAATCTACGATGAGGTATTGAGAATCGAGCTACCAGAGGGTTGTAAGGTCGTTGCGTACGCCGATGACCTCAGCCTAATAACGGAAGCAGACGATAAGGTTGAGATAGAAGAAAAAACCAATTTGGCCCTTACCAGGATATACTTGTGGATGTCAAGAAACAAACTGAAGCTGGCGATTCATAAAACAGAGGCAATTATTATTAAAGGCCCAAGAGACAGACATGGCATCCTCTTCGAGATGGGGGATTTTCAGTTTCAACCAGTGAGAAGTTTAAAATGTTTGGGAGTCTTCTTAGACGATAAACTCACATTCGGGGAACATGTTAAGAGAACGGTAGAAAAGGCCACGAACTCATATCTGGCACTAATTAAACTGATGCCAAACATTGACGGCCCCAAGACTGAGAAGAGGAGAATTCTTGGATCAGTGGTCCATTCGATCCTGTTATACGGTGCGCCAATATGGGGCAGTGCGATGAAGATGCGAAAATATGGAGCCATGATGAGAAGTCTTCAAAGGAAGATGCTGATAAAGATTGTGTGTGCGTATAGGACGGTTTCGGCTCAAGCCATAAATGTGGTCGCAGGGATACCTCCCATTCAACTACTGATAGAAGAGAGGGTTAGATTACACAGCATAAAGAAGATGGGGATACCCATTACAAACGAAATTAGAAAGACGGAGAGAATACAGACCATCAAATTATGGCAAGAAAGCTGGGATAATGAGACCACAGTAGCCCAGCATACAAAAAGTCTAATACCCAACATCGAGGAATGGCTGGACTGCGAGCACAGAAACCTGACCTATTACACAACACAATTCTTTAGTGGACATGGAAGTTTCGCCAAATACACGGAAAAAATTGGAAAACGGGAAAATGGACGGTGTGACTACTGTGAAGAAATAGACGATGTCGAACACACGATATGCCACTGTAAAAGATGGAATACGGAGAGAGTAAAATTAGCAAGGGAGGTAAATGACCCTATTACATCCAGAAGTGTGGTAACCGCGATGTTACAGGACGAAAGGAAATGGAAAGCTATAACCGCAATCATTGGTGATATTCTGGAACGGAAAGAAATAGAGGAAAGGCTAACACAGCAGAGCTAAAAACCGTACCCAAACGACACGATGGTATGCCCGAGAGGACAATTTTCCGTGTTGTTTGAATGAAGGTACGAATGAAGAAGACAGGTTTTTTTAGTGGGTATTGAATCCTGAGCCCCACACTCCCCCGGCCGCCCAACACCAGGCCGGGGCGTGCGTAAACGCATTTTTTCCTGTCTTAAAAAAAAAAAAAAAAAAAAAAAAAAAAAAAAAAGGGTAGGGTAGGGTAGGGTAGGGTAGGGTAGGGTAGGGTAGGGTGGGGACCAAATGGCCGGGTTTTGGGTCAGGGCTGACCCAGTGGGTCTCAGTAGGTGCGGTAGGGTGCCCATACTTACCGTGCAATAAAACGCTGAGCCCGCAGTCCTGTGTGGACGAACCGGCAAATCCTATCTCCACCTCCTCGTGGTGGTCCCTGGTAATGCGCGGCGTGCTGCGAAGTACGTCTCGTAGCCAACGGAGAAGGGTTATGGCGAGCTTCCGGCGCCTGAAAAAAAAAATCTGGAATTAGTGGGCTAAGGGAAGGAAAACCCCGACAGAAAACCCGTAATCTAAGCCTGGGAAACTGCGGTGAGGGATGAATGGCTCCACGTTTACGGAGTCGGGAGCAGCCCCCCGGCATCATGGCGAGGGTGTGCGGGGTAGGCGAAAGCAAGGCCTTACCGGGGTACGGGCGCACTGCCCCGGAGGACGACTATTTCGGCCCCACTCGTGGGAACAAGATGAGCAACGATTTTAACAAAAAAACTGAATTGGCTGGTAGCAGCAAAGATGAGGAAATGGCTTTTGCAAGAAGTAAAAGAACGGCTAGATCCCCAATGGGAAAAGAGCAAAAAATTGATGAGGACGTGTATGGCACCCCGAAAGGAACGCTTAATATAAAAATCCAGGAGAAGCCTGTGAGCAGATTGACAAGTGAGGAAGAAAGCACGGAAGAAGAACGGCCAACACCGGGAACACTAGAAGGCTTCAACGACGAAACGCCTTTTGAATCCGAAATTTATAAACTCACAGAGACGACGGTAATTGAAGTAAGGAACAGTGATTCTGACCAAGAATCGCCATTCAAAGGCCAGAAGGGCAAAAGACAAAGGCGGAAAGATTCCCCAGAGGAAATAAGGAAGAAAACGAAAGGAGAAATAGAACAGGAAAGGGTAACGAGAATGTGGAAAAAAATAACGAGTGAGGTTGCGGACCTGAAAAGAATAATAAAAAACAATACAAATACAAAAAGAGAAATTAAGGAAAAGGCAGACGATATAGACGGGTTAGTGAAAAGGTTAAACAGAATTATGGAAGAAACAGAGAGAACACTTCACGGGACGAAGGACGAAGAAAAGGTGCGGGAGAGCATATCAACACAAACAGAGCCGTGCAGACCGGAACACAAAGAAACTAGAGAAATGGGGACACAAGTCAACATGGAAGAAGAAGGAAAGAAAATACAGTCAAATGAAGAATTGAGAACTAGGATAACGGAAGCTAACGGTGAATGGACAAACATAGAAGGTATAATGGCAAAAGACTTTAGCAAGGAGGTATACGTAAGGACGGTAGTGGGCTGGGGAAACCCGGCGGATATAAAAGCGGACGACGTAGCTATAATCTATGACACACAAAATAAAAACCACAGTCTTAAGATTATGGAAAATTCGGATGTCGCACAAATAATCAATGAAGGATGGGTAAAAGAAGGATCGATGGCAAGCATGGAAAATAAAACAGCCCTAAGGATAGAGGGAGAGAACGAAGAAATCAAAAATAATAAATACACACACTTCCTGCCTCTGGAGACAAACGTAACAAGTGATAATGGCATATATAAAGCTATCAACAAACTAAAAATTAGGATGAAAGAAAACAGCAGGACCAAGGTATCAATAATCATAGACAAACATCTACTAAACAAAAACACAAGGAAAATTACTGAAATTGGATTAACGGACTCGGACATACTAGCAACGGTATACGAAATGGACACTTTAACGACTAACGAAATAGGTTGGAGACGAACACAGAGAAGGGAAGAAAGAAAGTACACAACGAAAGCCCTAATAATCGAAGCTAAAGGCAGATCCTATGTAGACCTGGTTAAAGAAGTTAAAGGAAAGGTAAACAAGCAGGAAGTGGTTAGCAACGTAAAGGACCTTAAAAAGACGAGAAAGGGAGATCTGCTAATTACACTGAACGACGACGCGCAACTCGACAACATAAAAAATATATTGAAAACAAACCTGGAAGAGGAAGAAATAGGGGAACCCGATAAAATGAAAGACACCATCTACATCAGCGACCTTGATGGCGCTATCACAAAGGAGGAACTGACGGAGGTTCTAGAAAGCAACATAGGAAAGGGAGGATTCAAAGTGGTGACCCTAAGGAATACCAATGGCGAGAGACAGAATGCTACAATAGCTATTGAAAAAGGAAAGGCACAAACACTACTAGGACTAGGATGTATTAAGGTGGGATGGTCAAGTTGCAGAGTAAGGGAGAAGATAATATTTGAAAGATGCTTCCGATGTTGGAAAATGGGACACAAAACACAGGATTGTAGGGGAATTGACAGATCGAAAGGGAATAGATGTAAAACGTGCGGGGAGGAGGATCATACCTCTAAAGAATGCAAATCGGAAAACACCTACTGCTGGACGTGCGAGGTGATAGGGCACAGAAGTGGAACAAGGAACTGCCCGAAATATAAAACGGCACTTCGGCAGGAAATAAGGAGACTGAACTCAAATAGGTACGAATAGAATCTGTAAATGTAAATATGTGTATATAAGTGTTGTAAAAAGTGTTGTAAAAAGGTAAAGGTTATTTATTAGTGTGTACTTATTATGAAGGTCTTACAATGTAATGTAGGTAGAAGCAGGAGAGCGCATGATTTGTTATTTGAATTAATGGACAGAATGAAAATCGATATAGCAATAATTTCCGAACCAAATAAAAAAATTACAGAGAAGAATGGATGGATTACCGACCAACGAAAAGATGTAGCGGTATACATTAAAAATAAAAACTGTGGTTTAATTGACGTCAGAAGTCGATCGAGACATATCATATGTAAGTTTAAGGAAGTACACATAGTCTGTTGCTACATACCGCCCAGCCTAACGATAAAAGAATACGAAGAAGTGGTGGATAATATAATAGATGGGGTACTAAAAGTTGGTAAGGACAAAGTAATCATTGCTGGCGATTTCAACGCAAAGGCACATGAATGGGGGGCACCAATCATGGACGCAAGAGGGACTATCTGGGCGGAATGGATGGCGACCATCGGACTTGAGGTACTGAACACGGGAGAGCCGTCCTTTGTCAGAGGGAATACAAAAACCCATATAGACGTTACATGCTGTTCAGGAAAGATCAAGGCAAGCTTAAGGAACTGGAAGTTTCTGGATGAGGAAATATATACTTACCATCGGCACATCTACTTCGAGGTTTCGGATAGACGAACCGGTACGAAACCATTCCAGGGTAGTAGAATATCCTATAACGCTGCTAAATTTGCGGAATCCTTTGAGGCGGACCATTCAACGGCAGGAAGCGTAGAAGACCTAGAAAAGAAAATAAAACGTCATATGAAAAAATGCAAACTCGAGAACAGGAATAAATCTAGAGCGGTACCATTCTGGTGGACTAAGGAGATTCGGGCGGCAAAGGAGGACTGCGTCAGTGTTAGAAGGAGGATTACCAGGAATAGAGAGCAGAACGACACACTCAAACAGGAACTAAAGGATAAGAAACGAATTCTAAAGACCCTTATTATTAGAAGTAAAAGGAAGTGCTGGGATGAAGTATGCTCCAATCTGGAGGACGATGTATGGGGACAGGGGTACGCCATTGTCATGAAAACCGTAAATCCAAAATCACCATTCGACATACCAGACACAAGACGCATAGAAATAGCCCAGGATCTATTTATAACTGAAGAGGATTCCTGGATAAAGCTAGGCGATGTAAGATCTGCTCCACCCTTTACTAGAGACGAGCTCAGTGAGGCTGGTTCGAAACTAAAAATGAAAAAGGCGCCGGGCCCAGACAGAATTCCCGCAGAAATCATAAGAGAGGTAATACGAAGCAAGCCAGAGGAGCTGCTAGGGCTGTTGAACAAATTACTCGACGAAAAGAAGTTCCCAGCAGAATGGAAAAAGTCCAAACTGGTGTTAATCCCCAAACCAGGAAAACCCGGTGAGGCCAGTAGTTCCTATAGGCCGATCTGCCTATTAAATACGATTGGAAAAGTATACGAGGGTATGATAAAGAATAGGCTGGAAGCTGAACTGGGAGAAGAGGGATTATCATCGAGCCAATACGGATTTAGGAGAGGAAGGTCAACAATCCAAGCAGTCCAAAAAGTAGTAGACACTGTAAGGAGGTCCGAAAGAAAATGGGTCGCGCTGATTTTCTTTGATATCAAGAACGCCTTCAATACGGCAGCCTGGAAATTAATTATAGAGACCCTGAAGAAAAAGGGCATATCGGAATACCTTATAAAACTAATCGAAAGTTATCTATCGGAGAGAACAACAGCAGTAACCAATGATAGGGAGTTAGTAATAAGGGGAGGTGTTCCGCAGGGCTCAGTGCTTGGACCTACGTTGTGGAACGTGTTCTACGATGGAGTTCTAGATCTAGAATTGGAGGAGAGCTGTACAAGCGTGGCGTTCGCAGACGACCTCGCGCTGATCATCCAGGCACATAACAAGTATGACCTTGTGGCCAAAGGAAATCGATGTATCGAGCAGGTAGGGGAATGGATGGAGGAGAACGAACTGCAGCTGGCAGCCAATAAGACGGAGGCAGTAATATTGAGAGGTACAACGCAAAAGAGAGTCCGAGATAAAATAGAATTCGATGTTGGAGGACACAAGATCAAGCCAAAAACAGCAGTAAAATACCTGGGCATACACCTCGACCATCGAATTTCTTTTGGGGTACACGTCAGCAAAATATGCGAAAAAGCAAATGAAAAAATAGCATCCCTACAAAGAATTATGTCAAACGTAAGCGGATTTTCAAGTCGAAAAAGAGAAATCCTGGGAGGGGTTGTGTACTCAATAATACTGTACGGAGCACCAGTATGGAAAGCTGCGGTCAGGATCAGGAAATACAGAGAGCTGCTGTTAAGTACACAGAGACGGTTGTTACTCAGAATTGCCAGCGCGTATAGAACTACGTCAGCAGAAGCGCTGTCGGTTATAACAGGGAACCCGCCAATCGACGAGCTAGTAGTAGAGAGGGCCGAAATCCACGAAAACCAATGGACAACAAAAAGCCAAAAGCAAGAAGCACGAGAAAGGACGCTAAGAAGATGGCAGGCAAAATGGGATAACCTAGAAGGCAAAGCTGCATGGACGAGGCAACTTATACCAAAAATAGATCCGTGGTATAACTGTGCATTCAGACGGACGAACTATCATTTTACGCAGTTTTTGACTGGCCACGGGTCATTCAAATATTACGTAAAGCGCATTGGGAAGACAGAGAGCGAC